TAATCTCAGGGTGGCAGATTTTCTGGACACTTCCACCTTCTGTAACTGTCTGCTGGTATGGCCCTATGATCCGAAACATATCTAAATATTTCTAAGGTACCTGTCACTATCATCTCAAGGCACCCTAAACACCACGTGCATTTCTTCAGAATGACTCTACCTTCTGAATCATCAAAGAGAGATAACAAAGTGTTCAGTATAGTGTTTGAGTTTAATGGTGAATCAGCGGTTATCCTCGCATTTCTCTAAATCACATCTTTGGATATTTCTGAACCTCTGAAAGAAGCATCAGCAGCAATTCGTAGATGGTTCAGATGTATGGGGAAAGAAGGTAGGTCATACTCAGTGGGGAGGACACAGTACAGACAAGGACAACTATGTCTTTGAAGTGAGGGCCTAGGTTAATGATTATAGGCCGTTTCACTGAGAAATGAAATGAAGCACTAAAGCAAATCTGGGACAAGTAAAAACCATTACCTAAAGCAGCAGTTACATTGTTGAAAACATGATTGATGCCAGGGAGAATTCTATAGCTTCGTAATATAGACAGGTTGTGTGGTATTGTGGCTTCAACCATATTTCCTGATGGTTCTGTCACTAGGAAAAATTTAAATACCTAGATAAAGAATCATGACCAATGAGATTAAACGATGTTATATCTCACTTGAGACTGTAAACATTTATTGTATTAACACTTCATAAGTCAACAAATACATACTCAGCATTGACTAATATTTAAGACGTACAAAGTAAGTATTAGTTACAGATTCTGCCCATTTATCATTTACAAAAACATTCACTTAAACTTCTTTATTCTAGAGACTCTGCAAACCAGTGCAAATAGATGAATGAGAACTGGTCCTGGCCATTGAAGAGCTCATGTTCCAGTGCTACTGAGAAGGGTCCAGTGTTGTAAGGGAAATTAAGACAAATATACACGCAGTACCAATGTCACCACTCACATGAAGTCAAACTAGAATATAAGACTGATAAGGTTCTGTCCTTGGCCCTTTTCACTTTATCTAATCTTTTTGGGTGACTCATCTATTCTTTCATGGTTGTGACTATCATTCATATTCATGACTCTCAAATCTATTATCTCTAATCCCTGTTTTTCCACTGAATTCCAGACCATATTTCTAATTGTCATCAAGACATCTCACATTCCATGTATTAAGAACCAAACTCATTCTCCTGCCTCTCTAACCTGGTTTCCAATCTGTAGCCTCTCTCTTGGTTGACAGAACAGTTGGCTACCCAGTTAACTATAAATCACGGTGTCCTTTGGACTCATTCCTCTCTCTCAGAATCCATCACTTCCCTCTCAGAAATGTTTCCATGCTGTCTGTTCTCAGTTCATTACTCTGGTTCAGAATCTCATGCCCTTTCACGCATGCTGCTGCAGTACCCCATAACTGATCCTCTCTAATGTATTGTCTACCCTGCTACTTTTATTCTGATCCTGAAATCTAATTTCATTGCTCTGTGATGGCTTCTTCACTGGCTCCCCAAAGTCTTCAGATGGAACACAAAGTTCTTAGTCTGACATATAAGACACTTCATAACCTTGCTCCATTAACTTTTCCCACTTTACCTTTGCGAGTATAATGAAAAAAAACAAATTCTTCTTAACTTTGCCTCTGATTTATTCCTTTAACTATCTCCCTTACTAATTGGTCATCTGAAATTCTACAGTTTTCTATTCCTCATGCTGTGATCATCCTCTAAGAAGAGCTCATTCCAGTTCCTACAAGCCTGCATCAGGTTTACTCTTATTCTTGTGGAATCAGTTCTTTTAACACTGACCTACCACAGAAGACCACAGTGCATCCCCACTGGCTTCCTTTTGAGTGAATGCTATCCTGCATGTTCTTGTGAGCAACTTGTAACCCTTTTATCTCTGTCATGAGGACTGAATTACCGGGAAGTCATTTTCTCATTTATCCGAGTAGTCACATCACTCATATTCATCTACTTTTTAAACCAATAATTTTAAATTTGAAATAAAGCTAAAAAATAAGTGAGTTGAACACCTTTTCCTATAAATACCTGATACAATAACTCAAAAGAAATCTTCCACCTTCTTAAGGACATAGAAATTAATACTCCTAAGAACACTGCATCTTCAGATGTCTCTCCAATTGTTAACAGTCCTTTCTTTATCCTGAGACAGACTCCACTCCTGGCTCTAGTTTTACCTAGCTACATAGGGTAAGTTTCCAATCTCTCCTACACAATTTCACTTCAGATATCTGGAGACACTTCCCATGCTCCCTTTCCCAAGTCCTCTTTCAGAAGACCAAATCCTCCCAGTTCCTCCAACTATTCCTCATAGTAAGTTCAGTGACCGCAAGCGGCTCATGACAGTTGTAGTCAGCAAACTGTGGACCATTATCTTCCTACTGAGGTCTTTATCTCCTTGAGGCTGACTTCAGAAATCAGGCTGCTCTCTTGGTCTCACATAAAAAGAATACCTCATGAACAGGCCTGCAGGATATAACCACTAAATAATTAGAATTTTAAAAACTGTGACAATATTTTGAAAAATTCCATAATGGGGTGTCAAGACCAAGAAGATTCAGAATGTTGCATTTGGAAAGTAAATACTGCATTCAGAAAATTCTCCTAGATTTCAGACTAACACCTTTAATTAACTAACACAACCAGTGTTGCCCTAAAAAGTTTACATGGCAAGTTTACCATGCTTTGAACATTTCTAATTAATGTGGGATACTGGCTTCCCCAGTGGCTCAGTGGAAAAGAATCTGCCTGACATGCAGGAGACGCAGCAGGAGTCCCGGGTTCGATCCCTGGGTCAGGAAGATCCCCTGGAGAAGGAAACAGACTCCAGTATTCTTCTCTGGGAAATCTCATGGACAGAGGAGCCTGGTGGGCTACAGTCCCTGGGGTTGCAAAAGAGTCGGACACAACTTAGCGACTAAACAACAACAATAGCAGAATGACGTGTTTCTCCTCCCTACGAACTCCACTGTGTATCTGTTTATCTCACAAATGTGCTGCTTCTCTCTGATTTGCAGCATCCACATTTGGTCTTTCTGATCCCTTTTTAGGATAACACTAATTTTTCTTATCTTTTCTCCCATCATTGCTGACCCTTCCTTTCACCCCACCTTTGGTCCTGAGGATAGCATCTTTGCGCAAGTTACCCTGTATGTTTCAAACCAGAGGAATGCCCTTCATATACTTCAGCACATCCTCTAGTGACAAGGCTTTCACTCTATTATTTCCCCACATTTGCAGAACTGGGACCAAATTACTTCAAGTGGTTTTTACCTGGCCTCCCTTTCCTTCACAAGCAATTACTTTGCTGCAAATGGCTGCACTGGCCAAATAACTTGTGTTCACAATTAGCTAATTGCAGGCTCAATGAGCCGCTTGTTCCTTCAAACTTGACCATTAGAGTTGTGTTATTAGGCAGAAATTTATCTTTTTATTTCCTACAGATTTACAGAGTCAGAGCAGATCCTGAACCTGACTGTCCTGTAGTCTTTTACAATGTCAATATAAACCATTTACATTTTTATTCCCTTTTGAATATATGTCATATTTCCCATTCTTTTAGAGATCACAGCAGTTATTCATTGCAGCATGCCAGGCTCCTCTGTCCTTCACTATCTCCCAGGATTTGCTCAAATTCATGTGCTTTGAGTCAGTGATGGCACCTAATCGTCTCACCCTCTGCTGCTCCCTTCTCCTCTTGCTTTCAGCCTTTCCCAGCATTAGGGTCTCTCCCCAAGCCTCGGCTCTTCACATCAGGTGGTCAGTGTATTGGAGCTTCAACATCAGTCCTTCCAATGAATATTCAGGGTCGATTTCCTTTAGGATTGACTGGTTTGATCTCCTTTCAGTCCAAGGGACTCTCAAGAGTTTTCTCCAGCACCACAATTTGAAAGCATCAATTCATTGATTATTATTAAAGGGTTAATAATTAATAGTTACCTCAGTCCATTTTGTAAACTGTAAAATTAAGGCAACAGTAAACCTGATTTGCCAGTCATGATAGAGTAAAACTAAAAATTTTAAGTAGAAAATTCCATTTTCTCCCTGGGCACTGAATTTCTCACAGCAGGTAAAAATTAACCTTTAATTTTATTTGCCCTAAAAGAAAGCACCTTATTTATGGCCCCAAATTGTTATCACCTGGTTTCTTAGAAGCTACAAAAAATGTAATTTCTTTTGAAAATCACTTCAAGGACATACATTTTATCCTACAGTTAATGTTGTTTCTTAATTTCTGTATGTTTTATTCCAATTTTCTTGTTCAACTAACATTTATAGAGCATGAAATATGTGCTCAGTTCTTCAGTTTCATACAAGGAGGTCATTTCCCACTGACATTCTTCTAATCCACAAAAGAGAACAGTAGCCAAAAGTAATGAGTTTTCATTTCTGAGGGAATTAATATTAATAAGGATTAGATTATATTTGCTTTGAGACTAATTCAGGCACTTTTAGCTTTCAAGAAATTTGCCCTGCAATTAAACACTAGTAGGTCTACCCCAGAGCTCTTTTCACTGGGTACCTTTTATTATTAAAAGTGCACAGCCATCTTTCCTTAGGATTGCCTTAAGGGGAGATAATTGAATGATGGGAAAAGATTCCCAAAGGCCTCAAGAGATCCTAATACACCAGTGAATTCCTGTCTCTACCCTGCTTCAAAGGTGTCTGGCATTTTCCTCACTAGTAGCATATGTAAAGAATAAGCAAAAAGAAATCAGGGTTAAAGGTACAAGTGGAAAGGAGGAGAAAAAAACTAAGAAAGCAGAAGAAACATTTAGGCAATGTGAAAAAGGGGATCATAGCAGCCAAGAAACAAAATATAACAAATACGGCTACTGCTCATAGAGACCATATTCTAAAATCAGTTTGTGCACAAAAGATAAAGCCTGTGTGTGCCACCTGTTGATACATGCAGGGAGAAGTGAGAAGAAGAAGCAGTGCAAGCGGGCTAAGATGAAAATATTGCTGAGGGCTGTCACCTACCCAGCACCAGTACCTCCACGGAATCCTCGTTCTTGCCCTCCAGGTCATCAGGGGTGGTGATGATGCAGTAATACAGGCCGCTGTCTCCCCACATGAGTTTTCCAATTTGAAGATCTGCATCTGTTATCACAAAGAGAAGGACCTGGTTCTAAATTCTGTCCTTTGAAGAAAACAGTGAGCAACAGAGGGTGGGTAAAAGTGGGGTGCTTCTGGGTGTCTGCAATGTTCTATTTTTTTACCTGAATGGTGGCTGACGTGATGTTTGCTTTACTGAAAACAAACAAACAACAAAGCAATAGTAAAAACTAGCATCCCTAAGGTGAGAGAATTCACACCCAGAAATTGGTCTAGTTGCAGGCTGGTTTCAGGAATAGAACACTTGCTTTCAACCAGGCTTACAGAGGTCCCTGAAAACCAAGTAAATTCCAGAATTAACCTGGACTCCTGGAAATAAGCTGAGTTCACAGGAAGTGAAAACTATTAGTCACTCAGTCGTATCTGATTCTTTGCAACCCCATAGACTGTTAGCCTGCCAGGCTCTTCTGTCCATGGGATTTTCCAGGCAAGAATACTGGAGAGGTTTGCCATTTCCTTCTCCAGGGGATCTTCCCAACCCAGAAATGGAAACCGGGTTTCCTGCATTGCAGGCAGAGACTTCACCGTCTGAGCCACCAGGGAAGCCCAAGACAGGTTCACAGGAGTTCTTCAAAATTCCAATATCAAGTAGGTCATACCAGACTTTGGACCTTCTCTTCTCCAAAGCTTTAGGGACCAGGAGAAAGAGTGGAACAGATGCAAAACTGCCTGGGACTTGGGCCGTGCACTGACCTGGCTCTGCCCTTAGACACATCATCCCTTTCCCAGCAGAGAACTTCTTAGGGAAGTTTACTTTCTGAGTCAAGGGCAATAAAGGCTGGTGTCAGGTGTAAAGTATTTGACTGAGAACACTTTCACTAGAACCCATTTCAATTCAGTGCTGATAATCTATTATCAGACTAAAGGTCAAGCTCATGATGCTATCATCTCCCATAAAATCAAAGTCTTGAGAGGCTGAAAGGGTGCACGGCTGACATCCTCTTGTACCTGTGAAGAATGAACCCAACCTCCCTCCCATTCCTTGAAAACAGAGGCATTATTACCGTGAACAATCGTGATCTCTCTGCCCCTGTAGAAATCTCCCAGGGTCACAGTCGAGCCCTGTTTAGAAGCTACCACTCGAACAGTCCTCCTGCTGTCTAAGCAATCCAAGTAAGGATCCCACTCCAGGTTTCTTTTACTGAGAGACTGGGCCCGTGGAGATGACATGCCCAGGGACTCCCCGACGCGATCCTGGCAGTAGGACTTGAACTTCCACTGGACGACCGCCGGCTGGCGGGAGGACGTGGAGAAGTGGCAATGCAGCACAGCGGGCTGGAAAAGCATGGCCACCTTCCTCTTGTCGGGCACCGTGACCTGGAGGCCTTCAGCCGCGGCTGCAAGACAGAACGAAGACGTCCACACGGCGTCTGGATCCTGGGCCTCACCTCACGCTACACAGGCATGCCCCTCTGCCTTACCTTCCTCACCTGTCCCTCACCTTGTTTTTTCCATCACAATGAATAACACAATATCTACCTGGTTGCCCTGTCCAGAAACCTGCACTCATTCCTAATACCCAGTTGGTCACAAAGTCATGTCAACGTGACCTCTTAACATCTTTAATATTTCCATCCCCCTCTTTAACCCCACTACCACTGCTTCCATGCATGTTCTCCTCATTTTTTGCCTATAATTTTGCAATAATCTCTTGTCTGGTCTCTCCACCTGCAGTTGCCCACATGCGTCCATTCTCCTTGCTATAAGCTCAGGTTATCTTTCTTTTTTTTTTTTTTAAGGTTATCTTTCTAAATCTCCTTCTCAAAATCCTTCACTCATCCTCCATGGCCTTTAGAACAAAACCCAAAGTTCTCAGCAAGGCATTTAAGGTGCTTCATTGTCTAATTCCTCCTGAGCCTCACTTCTTTTTTTTTTTTTTCCATTTATTTTTATTAGTTGGAGGCTAATTACTTTACAACATTGCAGTAGTTTTTGTCATACATTGAAATGAATCAGCCATGGATTTACATGTGTTCCCCATCCCGATCCCCCCTCCCACCTCCCTCTCCACCCGATCCCTCTGGGTCTTCCCAGTGCACCAGGCCCGAGCACTTGTCTCATGCATCCAACCTGGGCTGGTGATCTGTTTCACCCTAGATATACATGTTTCAATGCTGTTCTCTTGAAACATCCCACCCTCGCCTTCTCCCACAGAGTCCACAAGTCTGTTCTATACATCTGAGTCTCTTTTTCTTTTTTTGCATATAGGGTTATCGTTACCATCTTTCTAAATTCCATAAATATGTGTTAGTATACTGTAATGGTCTTTATCTTTCTGGCTTACTTTGCTCTGTATAATGGTGAGCCTCACTTCTTTTTTTTTTTTTTCATTTATTTTTATTAGTTGGAGGCTAATTACTTTACATCATTGCAGTGGTTTTTGTCATACATTGAAATGAATTAGCCATGGATGTACATGTATTCCCCATCCCGGTCCCCCCTCCCACCTCCCTCTCCACCCACTCCCTCTGGGTCTTCCCAGTGCACCAGGCCCGAGCACTTGTCTCATGCATCCAACCTGGGCTGGTGATCTGTTTCACCCTAGATATACATGTTTCGATGCTGTTCTCTTGAAACATCCCACCCTCGCCTTCTCCCACAGAGTCCACAAGTCTGTTCTATACATCTGAGTCTCTTTTTCTTTTTTTGCATATAGGGTTATCGTTACCATCTTTCTAAATTCCATAAATATGTGTTAGTATACTGTAATGGTCTTTATCTTTCTGGCTTACTTTGCTCTGTATAATGGTGAGCCTCACTTCTTTTTTTTTTTTTTTTTCATTTATTTTTATTAGTTGGAGGCTAATTACTTTACATCATTGCAGTGGTTTTTGTCATACATTGAAATGAATTAGCCATGGATGTACATGTATTCCCCATCCCGATCCCCCCTCCCACCTCCCTCTCCACCCGATCCCTCTGGGTCTTCCCAGTGCACCAGGCCTGAGCACTTGTCTCATGCATCCAACCTGGGCTGGTGATCTGTTTCACCCTAGATAATATACATATTTTGATGCTGTTCTCTTGAACATCTCACCCTCGCCTTCTCCCAGAGTCCAGAAGTCTGTTCTATACATCTGAGTCTCTTTTTCTGTTTTGCATATAGGGTTATTGTTACCATCTTTCTAAATTCCATAAATATGTGTTAGTATACTGTAATGGTCTTTATCTTTCTGGCTTACTTCTGAGCCTCACTTCTTATAGCACCTCTGTTTGAGTATCAACCTCAGAGGACACCAAACTAACAGTTTCCCTAAGTGGGATGTGCTATATCACACCTCTAGATCTTGGCACATAATGTTTCTTGTTTATGGAAAGCTTTTCCCTCATTTATCTTCCTGGGAAACTCTTCCTCATCTTTTAAAACACAGTTCAAATGCTTCTTGTCAAGCGTTCTCTGACCAGTCAATCTATTTATCACGTCCTCCTTTGTGCCATAGCGTCCCCAGCATTCTCCACCAGACATTTACTATAACAATTTCGCAAGTTCTTATTTTCACGCCATCAGACTTGTCAGGTCAAGTAAGTAACATGTCTTATTTAGCTGTCCTAGCTCCTGAAGCCCATAGACACTATAAACTGTTTGATAAATGAGGACAATGAATCCAGGAAGTGTGAATTTAGGAGGAAGTGACTTCCCTTCTAGCTGGTGACCAAGCAAAGGAGACAGAGATTAAGGGGGAAAGAAGGCTTTGAGAGAAATGGAGAATTTCAGATCAAAAGCAGTAGACCAAGTTCAAAAGCTTTGAAGGTGATCCAAAAAGAGGTGGGGGGAGACTAGAAAGCAGATGAGAAGTTTAAGTGGTTACAAAGATCAATTTGAAGCTTGGTGTCCAAGAAAGAGAGGGAAGTTGCTATGAATGAAAACCCAGGGGAGTGTTTGAGAGGCAAAGGGCTTCTATGAACTCAATGGTAAGGTCTAGAAACTCCAGACAAAGAGAACATAACTTCTTCAGGTTACTGGGAGAGTTAAGAGTTTCTAGTTTGATCTAATTCTGCTTCGAAACAGAAGCAGAATCATGATGAGAAGCAAAAAAAAGGAATATGAATAGAAAGATAGGATAAAAAGGTCCAGAGGTGAAACCAAGAGGCTGCCAAGCCACTTTCAGGTAGCTTGAGGCAAAGAGTTTTACCCTAGAATTGCAGGTGGACTTCAGAGGCAGAAGGACTAGTTTCCTAGGAGGGCCTACTGTCCTTCATTACTGCCCATGGTCACGATGACATCCCACAAAGCAAACTCACTCTCACAACCTGAATATGCATTTATTCATGACTCTTTACAGAGTCATGAATAATAGCTTTATAGCTCGCTCAACAAGGGCAAGATACCATATTTGTACTCACTTCTGATTTCCCGCCTAGTGCCACTCTTCCATAAAAGCACTGTGAAAACTAGGTTTTAACTCCTGTTAGGAAGAAAAGGTTTCTGCATCCTATGGAATTGGGAAGTGAATACAGCAGAGTATTTAAGATTTAGTGTTTGAACCTTAAGTGCTGGATAGCTACTATAGAATAAATAAAGGAATGGGCAAGTAAATGAATGAATGACTATTAATATGACAATTTCTAGCATTCCACATTTATGTTTAAATGACATTAACAGCATAGTATAGTAAAAGAGCATTGGAATCAAAGAGATAAGGCTTTGAATCTCATCTGGCTACACACTAATGGTAAGGCCTAAATGGAGTTTCTTAAGCAGCCTTCACCTGTAAAGTAAGCCTCATACTCCTTAACTCGACAGAGTCGTTACACCTGATCTCTCTGGGTGCCTGCAGAGAGAGGGCTCTTTAAGAGCGCCTTGACCATGACCCATAGACAGCACACCTCAAATGAGAGCCCTCCCTTACCTTTCCTGCCTTTCCCCTTGACTCCCATTCAGAGGCTCTTGAATCTTGATGACCGTTCATCACCACAAGGTTTGATTATAGCCAGATTACGTAGATCAGAGCCATCAAGGGGAAGATAATTCCCATCTGGAAGCTCAAAAAAGAACCTCCTAGGCCCTGCTGCTTCCCTCCACCACCCCCAAATGCTGGTGTCACTGATTCTGTTCTTCCCAACTCACACATCTAGAATCTAGATGAGGAAAAGACGTGTGTGTGTGTGTGTGTTTTACAGTTTCTCCTTGAATTCTATCGCATTAATTTTTAACCTCGTAATTCTTTAAATCCTTATTCACAGTCTGATTTTCCAGGTAACAAAAGGGACAGAGAGGTGAAATGACTTCAGTGAGCAGTTGCTGAGGCTGGATGACCAATCACAGGTATCGACCAATCACAGTGCTGGCTGCTGACCAACCACCTTTCTTCTCTGCTACCTATTCAGGCTCTATTTGGGAAATGAAATATTTCCTAGCTCTTCCAGGATAAATGAAACCAGCAAAGGAGGCAGGTGCAGCACAAAAAGTGTTGGGGGAAGGGTTAACTATAGGGTTTTCTTCATTAGATGATTACTAAGAATAACCTCCTTCTCAGCTCCATTCTCTGTTAATGAGATTAACCACTTGACCAAGCCATGGGACACCATTAATTATTATTTTTTAAAATCATGGACTCCCTTAATTATTAACAGAGGTTAATCAACTCAGTTTATGTGTATGTTTCTTCTGACATACACATAAGCTCGTTTTCCAAAGAATAAAGAATATGTTTTCAGAAACATTTGCCTCTTTATAGCACGATAGTGAAAGGCATGGATTTTAGAGCGAGTCCTCATTTAGAATCCAAGTCTTGCCACTTTCTAGCTGCATGACTTGCAGCAGATTACTCCTCTTAGGAGTTTCGGTTTCCTTACTGGTAAAACCAGAATAATAATAAGTATTTTGTGGAGTTGTTTCAGGGTGAAATAAGATTTTATCCTAAGCATTTAGGATAATACTAATGTAAAGTAAGCACTCAATAAATGTAGTTGTTGCTGCTGCTGTCAATAACAATCTGTTGACTTCTGTAAAGCCATATAACCTAGAGCTAGGTGAGCACAAAGGTGTGAGTTACAGGGCAGAATGGGCAGAAACTGCAAAGGAATAGTGACTGCAGACTGGGCAATTCGGTGTTCAACAATGATGGGTGCACAGCACAGTCACATTCACACCTTCTAGCAGTTGGAAGCAGGGTACCGCTGAGTGTGTGTGCACATACACAGACATTTCTACATATGCAGGGATAATGGAAATCCTGGGAATCTAAGCTAGGGATACATCTGGATAGCTGGAGAGGACAGAACTAGGAATTTCAAGGAAATGTCAGTTTACTGAACATTTTAGGACCAGAGTGAAGAGTTAGAAAGCTAAAGAAGTCAATCCCTGCATGAGCTCTAGAAGCTTCAAAACTGTAGG